AGTAAAAAACGGAAACTTGACGTCTTTGGTTGATTTCACAACTTTCAAGAGCTTCTTTTCAATAAGGTATATACCACTTTTTCAATTTATTAGAAGATAGTTTTGGAATTATGTAATAAATTTTAGTTTGTTCAGTAGGGGGTAGGGTGTTGTAGAGGGAGTTATATTTTATTTTGTTCAGTTTGGGGTAGGGTATTTTTTATTTTGTTCAGTAGGGGGTAGGATATTGTAGAGGAAGTTATATTTTATTTTGTTCAGTTTGGGGTAGGGTATTTTTTATTTTGTTCAGTAGGGGGTAGGATATTGTAGAGGAAGTTATATTTTATTTTGTTCAGTTTGGGGTAGGGTATTTTTTATTTTGTTCAGTAGGGGGTAGGATATTGTAGAGGAAGTTATATTTTATTTTGTTCAGTATATTTTGTCAGTATGTAAAAAATATTTTGTAGTTCATTATATCTTATTTCGTTCAGTATGGGATAGGATATTTTTTATTTTGTGTGATTATACAGTATCGTCTATATATTGTATGACGCAGTACATGATACATTGTACGACGTAATACAGTGTCAAAGGAATAAGTTAACAGAAACAGCAACACAGAAGAATTTAAATATCCAGACAGAAGAGCAATACGAAAGAATAAGAGACAACAGATACAACCCAAGATACAAAACAATTAGAGAAGAACAGAGGCCGGAATACTCAAAAAGAGAATGCAAAGGAAGAGGTCAGAAGATCGTGGTGAGATTTAGGTGTGGAAATAAAAAAATGTTTAACCAACCAAAAACTTTGGAACGTACAACGTATAACTGTGTAGGATTAACGACAATAGAAATATTGATAGGAGAAATGTTGAAAGGAGAAGAGGAAAGAGTGAAGTGACTATGAGAGATATACTAACTAAGAAAGGATACACCAGAAAAGGAGAAAACCGATACGTAAACCGGCTACAACTATAGATATTACATATTATAACATTATATAGAGATAATTATTCTATTCTATTACCAAAAACACCCCTTTCGAGGCCGAAAAGCATGAGATAAATGATTGCGACTACTACTAATAGAGTGTCAATACATGATCGTACACCAGAAAATAAGGTAATAGCATGGATCGTGCTAGAAATGTTCGATAAAACATGGGAAGATTTTCATTCTCACGAAACCCCGATAAAATCGGCAGTACCATTATCAACAAAACTGTGACGTTGCGAAAGCGTGTTCATTGGATGCGCGTGTGGCTAAAGCTCCGTCGGCCATAAAAGATTCGTCGTGTGCAGTTCCCTGAAATCCTCAAATCCGTGTCAGCAACGATATTGCGCTTTCTTGTTACGGAAATTCTCCGTCCGTTGCGCCTTTCTTACACACTCCCGCGCTTTTATTCTCCGGTGATCTACAAATTCGAGCCGGCCTGTCACGGTTCCGTTTGTTGGCTGTTGGATTCGTGCTCTCTTTCTTCGAGTGAACGTACGTGCCTACACGCGCGCGCGCGTACGTACATACGTACATACATACATAAACGGTTCAGAAAAGGTGTGCACGCTTGTAAACGTTGTGTTTATCCTGCACACAGGCTCCACTCGACATTCTTCGCGAGTGTCTCTAAACGGGGCGAGTCGAGGGTCGATGTTCGAGTAGAAAGAGCCCGGAAGCGGAACTCGCTGTCGAGACGGATTTCTAAATAAATGATCTGCGGCTCGAGCATTCGGTGCTCTGCACTTACTCGCCTTAAGACCGTCTTCTGGGAGACCCCTTTGCGAAATTTCTTCGAACTCGTTTTTCTCTCTTACTGCCATACAATTTTTGCTTATAAATAAACGGTAACGTTTTAAGTAAGCATAAGAATCTTGCTAAAGCGGAATGATAACTTGTTAATTTAAATCGTGTTATCTTGGTATGACAATTTTAATAGCACTAAAATAACACATCAACCTGAGAGTAAATGCTGTGAAATACGTTTATTACTACTTTGCCTCTCGGCTTTCAGAGGATTTCCACCTCTGCACTTTTTCTTTTACGTACTTAACTTAACCTTTTCGCTCTTAACGTTGACATGCCACATGAACGAGTTACTGTATTTCTGAAATTTTTATGCAATTTACAATTTATTAATAGTAAGGTATATTCGCATTCTTGAGTGTCTGACGAACATCCTTTATCCGGTCCGATTAAACAATCTTTTCAACACGACTTGTTTGTTTTACAGGTTTCTTAACAATCATAAAAAATAATTCAGACGTAGAAAGGGTATAAATTCATTTATCTTTTACTTTTTATATTTAAATCTGGACTAAAAACTGCTGTTCTGAAACAAAATCGTTAAAGTTGTTCTAAATTAATTTAACTTCAAAAATGAAAAACGGAAGCTACATTCATATTCAGTACGTCAAAACAAATGACCTAAAACTTTGAGGGTACAACGATAAAGTTTTACCCACATCAGAATTTTACTGTTTCACGTTTCCCTTGTTTGATCCGATTTTCCCAGAAGTCTTTTATTCAATCTTGGAGACAGCTCGAAGCCAACGAACTAGATAGTTTCGCCGCATCGTTCGAGTCGGTGATTTGGTCAAATTTCAAGCGAAAGAGGGTAGGGTAGAGAAGACTCTTGTCAGTCTCATTAAGCGTTCACAGGAGGAATCTCACGGGAATCACTAATGGAGCATCTTCGATTCGATGGTCCATCCGAATGATTTCCAGCCTATACGTTACTACTTTTGACTTATCAGTCTCCCACATAACGACTCTTCTGTTCCTCATACCACCTCTCCTCTCGTTTATACAGGATGTCCCAGAAAAAGTGTTAGAGCCGAAGAGAAGTGATTCTGTAAGTGTTTCTGAACAATAATTTCCTTTACCAAAATACAAAGTGAAGCATGGTTTTTAAATTATTAACGAAAAACACTAATCAATAAGAGGGCGTGTAGAGTTCACGCTAAGCCGAAGCTTCACGACCGAGCGTGAAGATCCCAGCCAACCTACCCGCGGCTGGGTGCGAGCCCTACGCGTGCTCTCATTTGTCTTTTGAAAATATTTCGAATGGTTCCGATTATTTTAGTCAGATATTATCATCAAGAAATTCCAATACATTCAAAAGATACTCAACTCAATGCCTCCTCATGCCGTCTATTCAAAACTTTCCTTTATCAAGAGATTCAATTTCAGATTTGGTCACTTAACTGTAACTAGAGTAGCCTCGAAAGCTAATAAACTCATTGTCAGTCACTGTGTGATATACATATTCAATAACTTTAGTCATGTTATTAGACGGGAACATTATTCTTACTTTCTCGCTTCACATTACCAATAATGAACATATGCTCTTCCTGTCTTGTACTTATATGACCTTTAACTTAAAATTGTCTAAAAAAGGGGTTCTTGCTAACCCATGTAATAAATAATTAAATATTGAATATGTTTCATTTAATACCTTCACCTCATGAGCATCCTCTTACATCATTTATGTTATTCTGCTATGTTTTTACAATATCTTTAAATTTTGAACGAAGATGGTTAACATCTGATATTGGAAATACATATGTGTTCTTACGATGGTAACATTTTCGTCGCTTATATTGGTCTTATTGCGCATTCCGTACGGCGGCCCTATTGAGAAAAGACTACTTATTGTTTTAGAACATAAAAACTGACGAGAACAACAAAAGTGCCAGACTGCGCTATTAAAAGTCGTAAAAACTGGAGTGGTAATACTAAAAAATTGAATATTCTCTATTATCAGCTTCTAAAGGTCCAGTCTTGCAAAACAAATTATTATAACTTCTTTTAATAATGAACACATTTACTTCGTTCGCAGCGCAAATAAAAGCTTGAACTCTCTATACTCGGGTCACCGAGAGTCTAGGACTGTGTACAGTTCAGTTTTCGCTCGTTCTGCGTATCTCAATGTTTTACCGTGTACTTATACTGAACCGTGTGGAGGGGGTTCGTTGCGACCCTCACCACCTTCTAAGCTGCGCGAAACGGTCCTACACTCTCGGTGAACCGAGTATAGTTTAATTCACTTTATCTAAGAATTTTATCTATATCGACTTCTAAGAGATGAAAATCGACTTTGCATTAACTCTTGACCAATTATAATAATTGTATACCAATG